TCCTTTAAAGTTTTGTTACTTAGCATCGTGTTAAATTTACGTATATTGGTTCGTGTTTGGTTACAACAAGTCAAAGCACAATAGTGCGACACGGCCCATCATTAAATACCCTACAGCATTTTGTTTAGTACAGTTATTTATACAACGATCTTTCAAAACTGGATTTTGTATGGAGAGAGTGGTGGAAAAAGTGGTCTCACCCGAATCATTTTCAATCGTATACGTCCTTTGGCCAAAACTTTTCAGTGTACCGTATTTCACGACAGAATCTGAAAAATTGCTACCTGATTTATAGAATAAAAATTGAAATTTGCCCAGATCCGTCTGGACAAGCTTAACCCTTGCGCCACAAGTGGCGTAAGGTATAAATACGAAAAAAAAAAAAAAAAACATTTACACCACATGCTTCAAGTTAGAGAAACACAAAGCGTATTTTGAAAATATTGAATTTAGAGTGATTGACGAGAATTTGACTAAAAAGCTTATAAAGAAAAATTTTTAATTTAACTTTTACATATCGGTCTTCGTTATGTTACGTTAAAGGTAATTTGAAAATTTCGAATTAAAATTGTCAAACATATATATTGAAAAATGGTGTTTCGAGAAAAGCGCTTTCAAAACTTCTGACTCGGTTCTTAATATGTTCTTCTCCCTTGCCATTAGTAAAATAAGTTAAATCTCCTTCTGTGTACAAATCTTATTCCTCCTGCGCTTTGCTCAACAATTTTATGCTCAAAAGTACGTGTTAAGAGTTTGTCAAAAAATAGAAGAGAGCAAATGCCAAGGGAGTGTGTTATTCAATAGCCTAATTCATAACGAATATCTAAAACTTCATCCTAAACTTTTAATTTCTTAGCAGGAGTGCGGAATAAATACCTATCGCTATCGCCCTTAGCTTTATATTTTCATAAGATTGGATTAACATAGTTTTGTTAGCGTGTTGGAGGAGCTAGAAGTCAACAAGTAAGACATTGACTGGCAACTTCACCAGCAGAGCTTTTTACTTGATCCAGTCAGTCTTGTTGGAACGATTGGGCAAAAGCACGTAATTCCAAGGAAGAAGCTTTTTCTAAGGGTTCCAAAGCAGGAAAAATTTGCAATGCTCTTACGCCATAAATGAACATACTCCAGATCCAAAATAAAGTCCTTTTCTATCTATATGTTCATACATCGTTTTGCCTGTCATTCGCGGAAGCCTAAACCGTGATAGATATATTTTGGAACGGGGTCCAATTCAGTTTAACGGTAGGTGTGAATTTCGAAATATTTCAACTTACAATTTCGCTTATACACTTTTAAGAAATGCAAATTTCATCAGGAAATTGTCAGGGGGCCGATCAACTTCCACCATGCAGGGCATTAGTTATCAAAGATCTATTTCAACAGATTCTTAGCTTTCTTCCTCTTGCTAAGTTTATTGCTTGAATATTTCGTTTCAAGGCAAAATCGTGTATTGCTTTACGACAAGACAGCCAGAATAACTGAATTTGTGGCCAGGTTGCTTGCAAATTTTTGTGCATCTTGCATTCTTGTAATAATGACAGAGAAAGGCATTCGAAATTCACATGAAACTCTAAGCAAATTATTTTCAATTCCTTCAATTATTTGACTACTTGTGGAGTTGGAATTACAAGTCATTTCAAACGCTATTATTCTTGCTAATGGGTCTTCGAAAGTTTTTACGATTGATCATTTATTCATCTGTCGCGCTTTTATTGCTTAAGTTGAGATCAATTGAGCCTAAGTACTTTTAAGTAATCACCAAATTCAAACACCAAGTTTTGCGCTCATTACAGGAAAAAGGATCATTAATAATCTGCAGAAAAATATTAATATAAATGTTGCTGTAAATATACTATGATTGCTGCCTAGAAGGACACTGGAAGATTTGATATCAGTTTCGAAAACAACGACTGCACATTCGATGAGCGATTAACTATCATTTAAGAATGAAACGAGATAAAATTTGATTTCTTTTGATTATTAAAGTTCTGAATATGTCTGAAATAAGCAAATGTTGCGCAAACAATTTCATTGAATCATTTGGGAATAATTGCACGAAAATTGCTTGAAATATTTGAAAAGCAACTGTAAATGTTCCTTTTTCTTACTTTTTTTTTTTATTATAAAACGATTGTCTAATACATTAATATTAATCTTTTCAACAGTTCTGAAAATTTCGGATGACTAATATTTTTAATTAGCACATTCTGTGTAACAGATTCATGAAATTAGATATACCGGGAATATATTGTGCGTATATGTATGGAAAAAATCAATATCGATATTTCTCCTAGGTCTACTGATATTATAGTCAATTAATTTGCAAAAAGCATAAGAAAATCAGTAAATGCATATAAAAGAAGAGAAAATTAATTCGCATTAAAGCTGATACTTTATTGATATCTATATTGAAGGTGTTATAACAGTTTATAAGAGAGTTTAAAGTGTTTCTGCGGTTATTTAATTAATATAAAACGTCACTCAATAAACTCGTAGAATCATTAATAAAACAAAATCTGTTAGGAAACACTACGGACTTTAATCATGAACCTAATATCCTTCAAGAGTATTGTATTCATTTCAAGGCTTCTCTAACGTTCCTATCGTGTCTACCTTATGTTACACTCTGTCCCGACCTTCAAAATACGCTTCAATTTTGACGATCATCTGTTCATTGAAACTATGTCTTCATAGGAATCACGAACAGGTGACGATAGTCAATTGCCATTTTTCGGATCGACATGTGGTATTTTTTCTCCGCCATCCACAATTTCCTCATTCAAATGGATTAGTAATGCTATGTTGACGCTTTGTCTCTTTTCAAGACAATCGATGAACGTTATATATGCATACATATGCTGTGCGAATCCCGAAATGCGGATGCCATAACATTTCCAGCCGATCTCTGCCTTTTTGGTCACTTTGGAAGGCTTTCATTCATCGTTTGCTATTCGCTCGACAGTGATCAATCCATGTTTCATATCTCATGAGATAATTCCTTCCTGCTCGCCTAAACGAAATAAGTTTAATACCATAACAGTTTCAAATCAATAATAATTAATGGGTAAAGAAGCACTCGGCGAGTGCTTCATAAAAATTTAATTTTCAATGCACCTGCACGCGATACGTTATTTCAATTATTTTAGAACAATTTCTTCATATATGATCTTTTAAACCCATTTCAAATTTAATTTTATAGTATGACAGTTAACCATTTCTAACCATCTAAAGATAACAATTGATTTTTTTAATTTCCCAAACATATAACAAATATTAAACAACAGTCGTATAAAAGCTAAATTAATTCATCGCTCGAGTTCAGAAGTTAAATAAAATATTTGGTATAACAGTTCGGTTTAATTTTCAAAGCCTCTTTAAAGTCAACAATTTTCTTAGTATAACGTGCTAAAAAGATAATATGAAAAATTCTTTGCAGGCGTGTGCAAGAACTCTTCCAGACAAACTTGACAGACATAATGTGATACCGAACGAAAAGCTTGCTTTTAACCAATTGTAAATTAAATTTGTCGCTCATAGAAGGAACAATAAATATGGCAAAAAAAAAAAATCATTCGAAACGTGTAAGTGAAAATTTAAAACCTCAACAAAAAACAAGAGGGAAATTATATATAAATCAAACAAATATTGTTAAAAAAAAAAAAAAAAAAAAATGTTAAATGTGATATTTAAAACACGGATTATATGCACTTGGGTACATGTTATATGTGATATATGTAAGTGTATATATAAATGTGCTCGTATATTTGCGAGTGTGTACGTTGTTTTTGTTTTTATTTTTATTTTTTTTATTTTTTTTTGCCTCCAACAAACAAGTCACATTTTTGTTTGGCAAACACAGTGACAGTATCGGTCAGCGTTACCCTACCTAACAGCTTCGTTATTTTTGCTTATAAATAACATGCTCGCATATGTATAAGTATTTGCTTGTAAATAAAAAACAGCGCAGTCATTGTAGAAGCACTACTTAATGTATACATATATCATTATCGTTAATACACTACTACTAGGGACTAGAGGAGACGACCAGCTGATAGATTAGCAGAGCAGCCGCAACGGCAGTAGCTGCTGCTGACTGCTAAAACGTCGTCAGCAAATATTCTTACGGTTGGTTTAGCTGTTGCTGCGCTATTATTGGGGAATGGAAAAAATATAAGCATTGCTCACGTTTAACGGGCAATGTTTTCCTCTTTATTTGTTTTTGTTTTTGTTTTTTTTTTTGTTTTTTTTTTTTTTTTTTTAGCAGCAAGCTTAGATGCAATTTGCTGGCTGGCGCATAGAACTGAAGCAACATTACAGAGACCGGCATTTGATCGTAACGCGTTCAACGTGCCAGACCGGACCGAATTCGACCGGACTGGAGACTAGTATAAGCGTAGCTTCTATTTTGCTATAAACAAAAAAAAAAAAAAAAATAAATAAATAAATAAATAAATGAATAAAAAATTCTAAAGAAAATAAATGTTTTATATTTCAATATAAAACTAAACAAAAAAAAAAACAAATAAATAAATAAAAACAAAATTAATTTATGTGAAAGAAATTAAGTAAAATCGGAACAGAGGAAGTAAGAGAGCACGACGGAAAGAACGGCAGAGATAAAGAGAGTGGGAAAGAGACAGAGGAAGAGTGAGAGTGAGAGAGAGCAAGAAAGAAAGTAAAAAAAAAAAGTTTATAAAAAATATAATAAAAAATGCGAAATCATGAAGAAACACAAAAAAATGTACGGAGATAATTAACAAAACTAAAAATAGCAAAATTTTATTAACTGAAACATTTTATTAAACATTTATATATAAAGAGCAATTAAACAAGTAATTGCAAGTTCATTCGCAAATAGTTGAAATAAATGGAAAATCTTTTCTTTATTTTTTTTTTTTTTTTTTTTTTTATAGTAATAAATAAATAAACTAGAATTTTAATATTAAAAATATAATTAAATAAAAACTTAAGATCGTGTTCGTGAACTTATTTAATTTAAAAGCGTTTCTTTAATAACGAAAAAGTATTTATTACATTGAATCTATTAAAAAATAAAATATAAATATAATGAGAAATAAAACAAAAATCTGCTGAGTTTCCTGTTGCCATTTAAGTTACGAATCCTTCAACTTCAAATATTCATTCAACACATTTTAAGGAAGAAATTATTGAAAATATTTGCAAAATATATTTACCTGTGCTTTATCGCGCACGCATTTACGACATGAATTTCTCCGATTCGCCAATAACAATATTGTCGGATATTCGCCTTTAAAGGCGGGTCCAACGACAGCACTCTAACATCCTAACAAGGTTATCTTTTCCATTAAAAATTAACGAAAAATTGAACAATGACCAGTCAAGGCTTCCGGAGAATGCACTGCCAAGTCCACACATATAGATCTTGCATTGCGTGGACATTATATTATTATATGCCGTTCGCAAAATCCGTAAACATGCAATAAATGTCTCAGTCAAATTTATATAGTTATTTTCAATTATTTCCATGTCCATGCCGCGTTGCCCGCTCGAAATACTCATTATTATCATGACTTGAACAAAAATATTCAATTTCGAATTTTTATAAATTGGATTTTGAAAATGATCTCAGATCCGATTTGGAAAAAATCTAGAACGGCTTAGTAATAATTACGCACAAATTTCATTGTATTTCTTTCTTAGAAGGGAATTAACTCCCTCACGGATATTAATCAAATTTGTGAGTTGAGCGATTGTTCACGAGGAATGTTATTTTAGTTATAATTATGCCTTATAGATGACGGGAATTGGAAATTCCGTTAAAGTCTTTCAAGTTTTGCTAAAGAAGAGTTTTTACTTAGTATCGCAGATTAAACGGATATGTTTGTCCGTCAGTGCAATACACTGTCTTTGCGATATACTAAAGAAAGTTTGATTGAAATATGTCACAATACTGCAGTAGGACAAGGTCCACGATTAAATAGCCCGCACGACTTCGTCTAATAAAGTTATTCACAGTTGTAACGAGTTTTCAAGATAAGCTATTATTAGGGAAAAGTGGTCCGATCTGTTAGCGATTTACCGACTTTCAACGAAACTTTTGGAAAATTGCGTGCTGCAAGTTAAACACAAGGACAAACAAGCTTAGATCGATTGAGAAAGCGATTATTAATCGAAGGTGTGACTGATTGTCTTTCAAGTCCTTCTGTGTATTGCATCCGTCTGCACTTGATATACCTTTGCACCATAAGTGGCGCAGGATATAAAAACCAAAGAGCTTGCGTTGAAATTTCTTATAAACGTAACTTTAGCGTGAAAAGATTTATGTGAACAAGTACTTAAATTAGTTTCGATTTTTTTGCATAAATACTCATTTGTATAGGATTTTATATTAGATACGTCCTTTGGATTCTACGATTACATGCCCAAGCCCAAAGACAGGTCAAGGACAAAACATAAATAATTTCGCAATGAAGCAAAGGGAAATATCACGTTCCTAGCTGAAAATTTCGAACCTTAGATGAGTTAGTTAGATACATTCTCATACAATTACATAGATTACACAGTTTTGATCAGATGTGTAAGGATCTATTCAAAAAAAAAAAAAAAAAAAAAAAAAATTAAACAAGAACAGATCGAAATTTGGTTGATATAGCTCGTATATAAGTTACTTGCAAGTATTTTCTTTTCTTTCCTCTTTGCTTTGCCTTTAAATCTCTACGCATAGATGGTGACGGGTATCAGGGGTTTAGTTTCATTATTTTTATATCTATAATATTAATTTTTTTATTGCATTTTTAACATTTTAATTTAAATCTTAAGTATGTAGTTCGCTTAAAATGACGATTGTATGCTTATTATCATTAATTTTCATTAAACATGAGACCAAGAAAAATAAGAGAAGATTTTTTGTACTTTCTTTGCGGGGGGGGGGGGGGGGGGGGGGGGGGG